TCCAGTTAGCTTGACCTCGGTCGTTGGTGAGATTTTCGATTCTATTATTAAGAATGAAAATCCAGTGTGTTTGGAAGTACATGGTAAAATGGGTGTAACCTATTTGGATTTCTAGAAGGCTTTTGACAAGGAGGCTGCTAAATCTTATTTTTTTATTTATTCATTAGCTGGATGTGGATATCACAGGCTGGCCAGCATTTATTGCCTGCCCCTAGTTGCCTTTGAGAAGGTGGTGGTGAGCTGCCTTCTTGAACCGCTGCAGTCTTCCTGCAGTGGGTTGATCCACAATGCCATTAGGGAAGGAATTCCAGGATCTTGATCCAGCAACAGTGTAGAAACAGTGATATATTTCTAAGTCAGGATGGTAAGTGTCTTGAAGGGGAACTTGAATCTGATGGTGTTCCCATACATCTGCTGCCTTGTCCTTTTAGATGGAGGTTGTTGTGGATTTGGAAGGTGCTGCCTGATGAATTTCTGCAGTGCATCTTGTAGGTTGTACACCACTGCTACTGAACATCGATGGTGGAGAGAATGGATACTTATTGGTGTAATGCCAATCAAACAGGCTGCTTTGTCCTGGATGGTGTCAGGTTTCTTGAGTGTTGTTGGGACTGCACTCATCCAGGCAAGTGGGGAGTATTCCATCACACTCCTGACTTGTGTCTTGTAGATAGTGCACAGGCTTTGAGGAGTCAGGAGGTGAGTTACTCACCAGTTTTCCTTGCCTCTGACCTGCTCTTGTAGCCACTGTGTTTATGTGGTGAGTCCAGTTGAGTTTCTGATCAATGATAACCCCAGGATGTTGATAATGAGCGATTCAGTGATGGTAATACCATTGAATGTCAAGGGATATTGGTTAGATTGTCTGTTATTGGTGATGGTTATAGCCTGGCATTTGTGTGGCATGAATATTACTTGCCACTTGTCAGTCCTTCTGGACATTGTCCAGATCTTGTTGCATTTGAACATGGACTGCTTATGTATCTGAGGAGTCATGAATGGTGCTGAACATTGTGCAATTTTCGGCAAACATCCCCACTTCTGACCTTATGATAGAGGAGAGGTCGTTGATGAAGCAGCTGACGCTGGTTGGGCTGAGGACATTACCCTGAGGAACTCCTGCAGAGATGTCCTGGAGCTGAGATGACTGACTTCCAACAACCATGACATCTTCCTTTGTTTCAGGAATGACTTTAATCACAGGAGAGTTTATTCCCTGATACCCAATGATTCCAGTTTTGCGAGGGCTCCTTGATGCGACATCCAGTCGATTTATGGCCTTGATGTCAAGGGCTGGCACTTTCACCTCACCTCTGGAATTCAGCTCTTCTGTCCATGTTTGGACCAAGGCTGTAATGCGATCAGGAGCTTAGTGGCCCCGGCAGAACCCAAACTGAGTGTCACTGAGCAGGTTATTGCTGAGCAGGTGCTGCTTGATAGCACTGTTGATGACACCTTCCATCACTTTACTGATGATTGAGAGTAGACTGATGGGATGGTAATTGGCTGGGTTGGATTTGTCCTGCTTTTTATGTACAGACATACCTGGGCAATTTTCCACATTGTCGGGTAGATGCCAGTGTTGTAACTGTACTGAAACAGCTTGGCTAGGGGAGCGACAAGTTCTAGAGTACAAGTCTTCAGTACTATTGCCAGAATGTTGTCAGGACCCATAGCCTTTGCAGTATCCAATGTCTCCAACCATTTCTTGATATCATGTGGAGTGAATCGAATGGCTGAAGACTGGTATCTGTAATGCTGGGCACCACTGGAGGAGGCCGAGATGGATCATCTATTCTGCACTTCTGGCTGAAGATTGATGTGAAAGCTTCCTCCTCCTCCAGTGAGGTGTTCAATCATTCACCACCATTCAGGACTGGAAGTGGCAGGACTGCAAAACTTAGATCTGATCCGTTGGTTGTGGGATCGCTTAGCTCTGTCTATCATTTGTTACTTATGCTGTTTTGCATGCAAATAGTCCTGTTTTGGTGGCTTATCAGGTTGATACCTCATCTTCAGGTATGCCTGGTGCTGCACCTGGCATGCCCTCCTGCACTGTCCATCGAACCAGAGTTGATCCCCTGGCTTTACGGTAATGATTGAGTGCGGGATATGCTGGGCCATGAGGTTACAGATTGTGCTGGAGTACAATTCTGCTGCTGTTGATGGCCCACAACACCTCATGGATGCCCAGTCTTGAGTTGTTGCATCTGCTCGAAGTCTGTTCCATTTAGCGCAGTCATGGTGCAACACAACACGATGGAGGTTATTCTCAATGTGAAGGCAGGACTTTGTCTCCACAAGGTTTGTGCAGTGGTTGCTTTTACTGTCATGGACAGATACATTTACAGTTGGCAGATTAGTAAGGATGAGGTCAGGTATGTTTTTCCGTCTTGTTGGTTCCCTCACCAGCTGCTGCAGACACAGTCTAACAGCTATGTCCTTTAGTACACAACCAGCTCGATCAGTAGTACTGCTGCCAAGCCACCATTGGTGGTGGACATTGAAATCCCCCACCTGGAGTACATTTTGTGCCCTTGCCATCCTCAGTGCTTCCTCTAAGCTTTGTTCAACGTGGAGGAGTTCCAATTCATCAGCTGAGGGAGGACAGTACATGGTAATCAGCAAGAGGTTTCCTTACCATGTTTAACCTGAAGCCACTGACTTCATGGGGTCCAGAGTCAAAGTTGAGGCTTCTAGGGTAACTCCCTCCTGACTGAATGGTGTCACCTCTGCTGGGGCTGGGTCTGTCTTCCTGGTGGTACAGGACATATCAAGGGATGTTGATGGTGGTGTATGGGACATTGTCTGTCTGTAAGGTATGATTCTGTGACCATGTCAGACTGGACAGTTTGACCAGTCTGTGACAACTTTCCCAACTTTGGCACTAGCCCCCAGATGTTAGTAAGGAGAACTTTGCAGGGTCAGCAGGGCTGTTTCTGCCATTGTCTTTTCTGGTAGCTAGGCCGATGCTAGGTGATCCATCTGGTTTCATTTCTTTGAGACTTTGTAGCGGTTGGTACAACTGAATGGCTTGCTAGGCCATTTCAGAGGGCAATTGAGAGTCAACCACATTGCTGTCAATCTGGAGTCACATATAGGCCAGACCAGGTGAGGATGGCAGATTTCCTTCACTGAAGGGCATTAGTGAACCAGATGGGTTTTTCCGACAATCAACAATGATATCATGGTCGTCAGTAGACTCTTAATTCCAGATTTTCTTTTTTTAAATTGAATCCATCTGCTGTGGTGAGATTTGAACCCAGGTTCCCAGAATATTATCTGGGTCTCTGGATTAATAGTCCAGCGACAACGCCACTTGGTCATCACCCTAGGTGTTAGGGGCAAGGATGGAGGGTTGGCTGACTGGCAGAAGGCAGAATGTGGGGATAAAGAAGCCTTTCTCAGGATTGTAGCCGGTGACTATTGGAGTTCCAGAGGAGTCTGTATTGGGACCATAACTATTCACATTCTATGTTAATAATTTGAGTAAAGGCACTGAGAGCAATGTTACTAAGTTTGCAGGTTTCACAAAAATAGGTGGAGGGACAAGTAGTGTTGAGGAACTGGGAAGGTTGCAGATGGACTTGGAGAGTGAGCAAAGAAGTGGCAGATGAAATACAATGTGGGAAAGTGTGAGGTTATGCAATTTGCTGGGAAGAACAGAAGCTTAGGCTAAATAGGGAAAGTCCTCAGAAATCTAAAGCATGAAGGAACTTGGAGTCCTAGTTCAGGATTCCCTTAAGGTTAACATACAGGTTCAATTGGCAGTTAGGAAGGCAAATGCAATGTTGGCATTCATTTCAAGAGGGCTAGAATACAAGAGTAGGGATATATTCTAAGGCTTTATAAGGCTCTGGTCAGACCACATTTGGATTATTGTGAGCAGTTTTGGGCACTGTTTCTAAGTAGGATGTGCTGGCACTGGAGAATGTCTAGATGAGACTTATAAGAATGATCCCAGGGATGAAAAGCTTGTCACATGAGGAGCAGTGGAGGACTCTGCGTCTGTATCCAATGGAATTTAGAAGGATTTGTCGGGGGGAGGGCTCTGATTGAGACTCACTGAATACTTAGCGGCCTGGATAGTGTGGACAAGGAGAAGATGTTTCCACTAATAGGAAAGACTAAGGCCTGAGGGCACAGCGTCAGAGTAAAAGAACAACCCTTCAGACTGAGATGAAGAGCTATTTCTTCAGCTAGAGGGTGGTGAATCTGTGGAACTTGTTACTGAAGAGGCATGTGGAGGCCAAGTCATCGAGTGTACTTAAGACAGAGATGGATGGGTTCTTCATTGGTAAGAGGTTGAAAGCTTACAGGGAGAAGGCAGGAGAATGAGGTTGAGAAAAATATCAGGCATGATTGAATGGCAGAGTAGACTTGATGGGCTGAATGGCCTAATTCTGCTTCTATATCTTATGGTCCTTTGTAATTTAGAAGAATGAGGAGTGAATTCTTGAAGTGTATAAGATCCTGTTTGGTCTTGACACAGGTGGATGCAGAAAGGATGTTTCCTCGTGTCAGTGAGCCCAGAAGTAGGGGCCCGTGATTTAAATCAGGTGTTACTCTTTTTAGAACTGAGACAAAGAGAATTTTTTCCCTTAGATGTGTAACTTTGGAACTCTGTGGATGTGAGGTAATCAAATACTGCTACAACTGAATTAGATAGTCTTTTATTAAGCAAGAGAATCAAAGGTTATTGGGACTAGGTAGAATGTAGAATTCGAAACACAATTGGAACAGCCAGTAAATTATTGAATGGTGGAGCAGATTCAAGCCCAAATGGCTTATTCCTGCCGCTAATTAATATGTATGTATGTATTGTTCAAAATTATCTTTACAACAAATAAATCTTGTGCTTTTCACTACCGGCAGCAAAACTGAGAAATGTTCTACTTCACAATAATTCAGAATTTCAGGCAAACAAACTCTGCATTCCAAATTAAAAGCAGCGAAAGTCTATTCACATACATCAGAAATATTGCTGGAATATATTCTTTTTACTTTTTGAACAATGTACATATAATAATAAATGGATGTATCAACAAATTTTTTAACTTCTCTCTGAATTTATTCTGAGTTACTGCGTAAATAAATGTATTTGTACAGCAACTCAATAGCTGAAGCATATTTGCACTTTCCAGGAAAATAAATTTTGGATCATTGAAGTCTTTAAATTTATAATCCTTCATAAATCGCTCAAAAAAGAAATATGCAACATAAGTTGTCCACAATAATATAAAACTGCCTGAGATGGTGAAGCGTAAAATAATGGACCTCCTCCGACTCTCCAATTCTGGATCACTCTGATTCTCCCTATTACTACGAGCCCGAAGCCTCTTGCGGATTCCACTGGCTGCCAAAATGCTTCTAACTGTCAAAACATTGAGGAAAATAATCAGAAAGAATGGGAGACAAGGATTTACAATGCGGTCAATCCAATGAAATGCTGCCCATATAAATGAGGTATAACGCATTTCCTTCAGCTTGCAGTACCACGGTGTATTGCTAGTGACGTATATTGGCTCATGCATAAAATACCAAGGAATATTAATGAAACAGCCCAGTGTACAAACATTCCAACAACTATGCCTGCCACTTTCTCAGTACAATATTTCCTTTTCAGCTTTTGGCAACAAATGGCCACAAATCTTTCAAAGGTGACAGCGACAGTTAAATAGACAGAAGTGTCTCTGGATGTATAAATCAATGCAATGCTCAGACTGCACACAGGTGCGATTGACAGAAAACTTCCCGGGAAATAAATGGCAGGAATGCGGTTTAGCAGCACGGCTGTAATAATAACCAGGCGATCTGTCACCGCCATGGAGACCAGGTATTGAGTGATACAACCAGAGAGACCAATCGCCAATAAATTAACTGCACAACAGGGATAGGGAGGGAAAAAGATCGAGAGGGAGGTTATAGATCATGCTCTCAGTAGAAATAAACTTTATGAGCCAGGTTCCACAAACAGCAGGGTAGAGGAAACATCTTTTCTTGCACTTACCATGTCAGTCACAAAAAAGGTTTTGTCTTAAGCCCCAGTAATCTCCTTCCTAGCCTCCCATAACAGCCTGGGATTCATCCTAGCAGGCCCTGGGGTTTTATGCACCTTTATGTCCAATAAAATATCTCCTGCTGATTAATCTTAACATGCTCTAGAACTTCACAATCCCGACTGAAGCTGATTGTTTTCCTATGTATCTGCTGCCCTTGTCCTTCTAGATGGAGGTGGTCATGCGTTTAGAAGGTGCTGTATGAGGATCTTTGGTGAATTTTCTGCAGTTTGTGTTGTAGATAGTACACTGCTGCTACTGAGTGTCAGTGGTAGAAGATGTGGATGTTTATGGATGTGGTGCCAATCAAGCAGACTGCTTTGTCCTGGATGGTGTCAAACTACTTGAGCGTTGTTTGAGTGGCAAGTGTCATCCAGGCAAGTGGGGACTATTTCATCACACTCCTGACTTGTGCCTTGTAGATAGTGAGTAGGCTTTGGGGAGCCAGGAGATGAGTTATTTGCCATAAAATTCCTAGGCTCTGACATGCTCTTGTAGCCACTGTGCTGACATAGCTAGTTAATTTAGATAATGGATGTCGATAAGGGGGATTCAGTATGGTAATGCTATTGAATGCCAAGGACGATGTTGGAGATGGGTGTTGCCTAACATGTGATACGAATGTTATTTGCCAATTATCAGCACAAGCCTGGATATTGTTATAATTAATTTTGTCACACGTGAACTCCTTCTAACAAGTCAGTGTTGACTATCCAGATCAATCCCTGCCTTTCCAAGTATTGATTAATTCTGTCCTTCAGAATTTTTATAATAACTTCCCATCTACCAACATCAGACTAACTGAGCTGTTAGTACCTGGCATGTCCTTCCAGCCCTTCTTGAACAAAGGAACCATATTAGCAATCCTCTGGTTATCTGGCACTTCATCTGTGGCCAGTGAGGTACTAAATATCTTTGCCAGAGCCCCAGCAATCTCCTTCCTAGCCTCCCATAGCAGCCTGGGATTCATCTCATCAGGTTCTGGGGATTTATGCACCTTTTATGTCCACTAAAATATCTCCTGCTGATTAATCTTAACATGCTGTAGAACTTCACTGTCCCAACTGAAATCTCCAGCTACAATGTCTTTCTCCTCTGTGAATGCAGGTGAAAAATATTCATTTTAAGACCTTACCCATGTAATCTGGCTCCACACCCAGATTGTTCATTTGGTCTCTAACATGGTCTGCTCTTTCCCTGGTAATCCACTTACTCTTAATATATTTATAAAAAGCCTTGGGGTTTTTGAACACTATAGAACAGGAACAGGCCATTGGGGCCTCTAAGCCTGCATCAACACATATTGCTCTTCCACACTAAAACTATCTTCACTTAAGGATCCATATTCCCTCTATTCCCTACCTATTCATGTATTTGTCCAGGTGCTTCTTGACTCCATTTGCCAAAGATATTTTGTGGTTCATCTTTATCCTCCTAAATTCCTTTTCATGCACCCTCCTACACCCTCTATACACCTGACAGGCCTCCCCTGTTTTTAATGTACCGTACCTGACCCGTGCTTCCTTTTTTGTCTTTGTCTTTATCAAACCCTTGACATCCAGGGTTCCCTGGACTTGCTGCCCTTGCCCTTCACTCTTAGAGGAATGCGTTGTCCCTGAACTCTCATTATACTACTTAGAAAAGGCTCCTACTTTCCAAATGTAGCCTTACCTTCTGATCCCAGTTTGTGTTTGCCAGATCCTGTCTAATGATTACGTGGGTAAGGTCTTTAAATGAATATTTTTCACCTGCATTCACAGAGGAGAAAGACATTGTCGCTGGAGATTTCCCGAATGTATACACTTAACTTCTGCACTATCCTTGCCCCTACCCATAATGACTTTGAAATAACAGGGTTATGGTTACTATCCCAAAATGCTCACTTATGACACTTCAACCACTTGATTGGCTTCATTCTCTTAAGATTAAGTCTAGCTATGCCCCTTCTCCAGTTGGACTATCTGTGTACTGGCATAAAAAGCTCTCTTGGTTGCACACTAAAAATTCCATGTCATCTGATCCTTTCACATTGAGCCGATCCCAGTTCATGTTAGCAAAGTTGAAATCCCACACAACTATAACACTGTCTTTCTCATACCTTTCTGTGATTTGCCTATATACTACTCTATCTTCCTTGGGAAACCTGTAGTGTAATCACCCCTTTATATTTTTAAGTTCAACATAGATAGCTTCATTTGAAGACCTTTCTATAATATCATTGCTACAGCGATGGTGTCCTTTATCAATAATGCAATACCCCCACCTCTCTTACATCCCCCCATCATGTCTGAAACCACTATACCCTGGAATGTTGAGCTGCCAGTCCTGCCCTCCTTTATGTCTCAGTGATTGCAACAACATCATACTCCCATGTGCTGATCAAGCTCTAAGTTCATCCACCTTACCAGTCAGGCTCCTTGCATTAAAATAGATATAAATTAGCTTTCTAGATCTCCCAGGTGTCTTATCCTGCCCATATCTTCTCCACCTGCTGGAATGTCCTAGAATTCCTTTCATATCTGACTGAAGCTTGCTCGCGATTTTACGTCTATGCTGTGCTCCACCCCCTCCTCCCACTCCCCCCGCAAAATAAGTTTAAAACCTTGCCAACAGCATGAGGAAACCTCCCATTCTGGATACTGGTCCCATTCTGGTTCAGGTGCAACCCATCCAGCTTGTTCACATCCTACCTACCCCAGCTATTGTCCCAATGATCCAAAAAAGTCTAAAGCTCTCCCTCCTACACCATCCATTTGGCCACACATTCATCTAACCTATCTTCCTATCCCCGTACTCAATGGCAAATGGCACTGGAAGAAATATTGGTTGTCTTCCTCCTTAATTTACTACTGAACTCTCTAAGTTCCTGCTACAGGACCTCATTTCTGTTTTTACCAATATCATTGGTACCAACATGTACCACGACTGCTGGTTGTTCACCTCCCCCTTCAGAATGCCCTGCAACCGCTGAGACATCAGTGATCCTGGCACTAGGAAGGCAACATGCCATTCAAGACTCTTTTTGTTGTCACAGAATCGCCTGTCAGTTCCCCTTACAATTGAGTACCCACTCACTATTGCTCTCCCAGTCTTTTTCCTCCCCTGCTATGCAGCAGAACTAACCACGGTGTCGCAAACTTAGCGAAGAGGCCATCATCCCAATAGTATACAAAACCATATAAACTGTGGCTTTTCTTCCTTACCTTTATTGACATGTCCGCAGACTTTGCCATGGTGACCACACCATTGTCCTCCAACCTTCTCCACTGTTGTCAGTTGGGTGGGACTGCTTTCACATAGTTCCTTTCGGGCCTGTCTGATCACTTGCAACAATCTCTCTTCCCACACCATTACTCCTGGTGTCCTCCAAGGATGTATTCCTGGCTCCTCCTATTTCTTATCCATATTCCGCTTATCGGTAAAACCATCTGATCAGGTGGAAGTAATTTCCACATTTTCACTGAGGATACCAAACTATACATCAGCACTATCCCTTTCCACAACTTCATTTTTGCTAAACTATCAGGCTGCTTATCTGACATTGATACTGTGTGATCAGAAACTTAATCTAATTAAATATTGGGAAGACTGAAATTATAATTTACTGTTTCTGTTTCAAGTACTAACTGCATTGCTTTTGCTGGCTTCATTCTGTGATTAAACTAGTTGGGTGCAATCCTGGAGTCATGTTGGGTCCCACGCTAAGTTTACACCCAAATTCACACCACTATAAGGGCCAATCGCTTTCACTTAGTAACATTGCCCTGCCTCAGCTCATCTCCTGCCTGATCTCCCACCTGCGATCCACTATAAACTTTAACTCATGAAAAAAATCTTCATAGAATCCCTACAGTGTGGAAACAGGCCATTTGGCCATCCAAGTCCACAACAACTCTCCAAAGAGCATTCTACCCAGACTCACTCCCTACATTTCCCGTGGTTAGTCCACACATCCCTGGACACTACAGGCAATTTAGCATGGCTAGTCCACCTAACCTGCACCTCTTTGGACTGTGGGAGGAAATCTGAGCACCCAGAAGAAACCCACACTGACAGGGGAAGAACATGCGTAGTCTCCTCCAGCATATAACCCACCAAGAAATTTGTCTTGTTACACTTCTGGAATGTGAAACCATAATCTCCAATTTTAAGATAACATGGTGTAGAGCTGGATGAACACAGCAGGCCAAGCAGCATCACAGGACCTGTCCGTCCTCCCTGGACTGACCTATCTCCTCCCTACCTCCCCACCTACACTCACCTTTACTGGCTCCATCCCCACCTCTTTGACCTGTCTGTTTCTTCTCCACCTACCTTCTCCTCTATCCATCTTCTATCTGCCTCCCCCTCTCTTCCTATTTATTTCAGAACCCCCTTCCCCTCCCCCATTTCTGATGAAGGGTCTAGGCCCAAAACGTCAAAAAAAAGCCTTCCTGCTCCTGTGATGCTGCTTGGCCTGCTGTGTTCATCCAGCTCTACACCTTGTTATCTCAGATTCTCCAGCATCTGCAGTTCCTACTATCTCTCCAATTTTAAATTTTGATTATTGCATCTAAGTTGTTTAGGTCCTTTCCTATAACTTTATGCTTCTACACCCATGCTGTTCACTTTTAAGTCACTGCATGAAGCCAATATTTTGGACGTAGCTTTAAGTTATCAAACCTAATGTACGTTAGTGTAGTGTTTCTTTTATGACGTTCCTAAACATCATTTTAGGAAGCTTCATTAAGTTATGGAAACTACGCAAATATGTATTGTTGTAATTGTT